CTCCTATGAAAAGGCTTTAGAAGAGTCTTTAATATGGAGTCTCCTTTTCCTAATTTGTTTATCCTGTACAAATATTTTTCCTACAATAAGATTTTTCATGTCTTGTTGCATTAGCTCCTACCTCCATCTTATTTCTTCTAGGTTGTAATTGACTTGTCAGGCTTGACAAGTAATTAGCAATTAACTTGCTAGATATGGATCTTATTTTTTTATTTTTGTAAACAGTAAGCTTCAAAAAAATATAGCTATACGGGCTGGCAGGTGGTGTGGTTTTTAAGGGCACTGGACTCCCACATGGCCAATCATTGTTCAAGACCTGGCGGCTTGCTTTCTCATTTCCTGTCTCTCTCTCGTTCTATCTCTTTCTGGTCAAATTAAAATAAATTAATTTAGATGATTCTTTAAAAAAATATATAAAATTGTTCTTAGATTCTTTCCCAGCATATTATTGATGGCATAAAAGAAGTTTTTGTTGGGCCAACCTGTAGTGGGGTCATTAGGTGTCTGGTTGGCTATGTGATTCAAGTCTTAGACCTGGTGGCTCTTAAATTTGCAATTCTTTTTTTTTTTTAAGAATTATTTTATTTAACTTTATTATTAAGATCATTATTATTTTGCAGTTTGAGAAGAGAGAGAGAGAGAGAGGAAGTGAGAAAGCAAGCCACCAGGTCCAAGACTTGAACCGTGGTCGGCCATGTGGGAGTCCAGCGCCTTTAACCACCACGCCACTTGCCAGCCCCAAATTTGCAATTCTTTTAAGGTTGATTTATAACTTGCTTTTCCCCCTTCTTTATATAATTGCAAGAAATACAGTTCTTAGTTGAAACACTACTCAAGTTCTCTCTCCCTGTTTTATCTGTTTGCTATTATTCCTTTGTTTTCTTGCAGTGTTTTATGTTTTTTATTCCTTCATTCATTAGCATAGGTGTTTTATTACAGTGTCTGGCCATATATGTGCTGTATTACACAATAAATAATAAACAGAATAGAAAGGAGAGTAACAAGCTCTTAGGGGGTTTATGGCAAAGAAAAGAGGGCTTTTTTTTTTTTTTTTTTTTTTTTTTTTTTGGGGGGTTTTTTCTTTGGTGTGAGCCACTGGCCAGAAAGACAGAAAGAGACGGAGAGATAGAAAGCGAGAAGTCGCCTCCCAAGGAGGATGGCCATGCCTCAATCCCTTTTCCTCTCAGGATCTTGGGCACGCACGCACATGCGCCCGGCGTGAGTTTAAGCCACCAGGTCCGGGACTCAAACCATGGTCGTCTACATGGGAATCCAGCGACATAGCTATTTCGCTAACTGCTGGTCCTGAGATGGCATTTTTTATTAGGATATAATTATAGTCTTTAACCAGTTCAAGTATGTATCACCTGTATGATTTTCACAGATACAAACTGAAAACTTAGTTTCTTGGTGATATTTTGGGCATTCTGAAACCAAATGTGTTCACTTTTAGGCAGTTGAACATGAAACTTTAAAAAGTCGATAAGCTAATATCCATGAACTTGTAAAATTTCTCCCTGAATTCTACCTGCAGGTAACTTTAAATGTGGATTAAATCCTCATGTCTGTTTCTATGGAGGCACTAAGGAAAGTGTTTCCTGTTCAGATGCCAACCAGGTCTCTGTGTCTGACGTCTGGACACATGCAGCGCTTTGCTCGGTCGTAACTGAAATGCTAGATCTGTTCCCATCTTGTCTGACTGTAGCCTTCCTGGTTTCCTTGTGACATTTCTTGTTCGCAAAGCTGGCTCAGCCTGTTTGTGCTGTTGTGGCTGCCTCGAGGGCAGAATGAGTAAGTTGCATGACTAGCCATAAATCAGGAGGCACAGACTCATCCCTGCTTCCCTCAAGATCAGACGTGTAGCCGGGAACTCCACGTATAATTAAATATTGATAGGGAAAAGAGTTGGTACTAAAACTTCTTTCTCTCTCCCCATTATTTGCTCTTTGTGTTCAATTTGGGTAAAGATTGGATTAAAATACCTTCCCAAGAGGGGTGTGTGTGTGTGTATAAGGAGGCAGTTTGGGCCTGTAAGAGGTTGGGTGACTTTTAAAAGTTATTAGCAGCTTAGAGCTTGGTGTAGGGTGGCTTGACGCGAAACATGTTGGTACGTGTTATGTGGAACCACGTTAGCCAGATGTCAAGAACATGCCCTTAATTAAAAAGTACAGCTCAGTAAAATGGTTCTTCAGTCACTATTTATTTCTACACAGATTATTTTACATTTTTACATTTGATCTCTATCTCCTTCACTTGGCTTTTACGTATCATTTAAAAAGAGAATTGCTTCAGAACAAAGAAAAATAGACAAAGCTTCTTATCTTGAGTCAGGAAATTGTGTGTACATAGTCAAATCAGAGCCATACCATAATTCCAGCTCCATTCCCTCGCAGCCATGTGGCTGCATGAGTTACAGAACATCTGTAAACCCTAGTTTTTTCATCTGAGTCTTTCCATTTACCTTGCAGGTTTGTTGTAAAGATGGGAAGAAACAATGATTGGCACAAAGTGGTATTTGCCAAGTGCTATAATTTATGTCCATAGGTTCTTGGGAGTTGTAGAGACTGAGGTAGGTAGAAAGACATCAAAGGAGACGGGGCCTCCACTAGAATGTTGAGTACATTTGAGAAGAGAGTGATCTATTAAGACTGATGTTTGACTGAGAACAGTTAAGGAAGCCTTGGGTGCTAGGCGGGAGTTACTTGTGATCTCATTTGGTTAGGGATTAAGAAGATAAGAATGCTTTTCAGGGGAGTTACTTGAGCAAAATAGTAATTTGAAGGGACTATACATATGTACTCCTATTTCTCCAAATCTTACTTTCCCCAGAATTCTGTTTTGTGATGATAAGTTATGATGTAGTAGCCTTTCCTGTGGCTTTGTGTTTGCTCATCTTTTGACAATCTGTGTCCCGGCAGGTCAGAGATCGGCAAGCTGCCTCTGTAAAGGGCCCTGTAGTCAGTATTTTAGGTTTTGCAGGCCATATATGTTCTTTGCTCATGTTCTTTTTTTCTTCTTGCAGTCTATAAGTTTAAGTTGTCACTACGTGCATGTGCTTGCCAGAGAGCGAGGAAATAAAAAACACTGTTTAGTGGGACGTTGTCATGCCACAATGTCTTTTCCTCTATCTCTCTGTCCTTGCAGTATTTGGGGCATGTGTGCACCTACACACACACACACACACACAAAACCAGCATGTTTTTGTAAGCCATGTGGCATCTAGCTTCCTCAAACACTAGACCAGGGGCATATATATTAAGCCATATGTATTATGTACATATGTATGTGTGTGTGTGTATGTATATATATGTATGTATGTAGTTGTGTTCGTGTGTATGTGTGTGTATTTTTTTCCCCTTGCAATTTTTTAAATATGTACAATCTATTCTTTGCCCTGAGCAGCACAAAAACAGACTCAGGGTCAAGGGTTGACTACTGCTATAAGTGAATACTTTTATTCTAGGTTCTCAGAGGCATGTGCATGAGTCCGTCAATGGAAGTCTGTCTCCCTGTTTTTATACAGCATTGGACTGATCCTTGCCGCAATCCCTTCTCCTGCATTGTCCTCTCGGGATCTTGGGCACACACACACATGCGCGCCCGGCATGAGTTTAAACCGGGGTCCAGGACTCAAACCATGATCAACTACATGGGAGTCCAGCGACATGGCCATCACGTCAGCTGCTGGTCTCTAAGTGAATAAATCTTTTAAAAAAAAAAAACCTTAATGAAAATCTGTTCTAGTTTCATGCTAAATCCACATTTGAGCCATGTTGTCTGGTTTACCCAAATGATCAAGCTCTGTATTGGCGGCTAGATGGTGGCACAGTGGCAACACAGTGTTCTGCAGGGCTGCCCCATGTGAGAATGCTCTAGGCTCATGTCCAGAGACCTCCCCGTATTTGCCAGGCATATGCCCATGATTTGAGACTTGCTGTGGCTGGAGTAACTCATATGCAGACCCTGTTTTGGGAGGGATTGCTATCACCAGAAGAAAGGAAGAAAGAAAGAAACTTTTATGAAAAAGGAAGCAGGCCGACAGGTGGCACAGTGGTTAAGATGCTGGACTCCCACATGACTGACTGTGATTTGAGTCCTAGTTCTGGTGGCTTGCTTTGTCCCTTTCCCTTTGTCTCTCTCTGGTCAAATTAAAAATAATAATAAATAATAATAATTAAGAAAATATTCTCTAAAAGAAGAAGAAAAAAAAAACCCATGTTGACTAACATTGGCTTTGGGTCCTGTAGTTTCTAAAATTTACTCTCAAAGGACAAGCATTTGCTGTCTTTGAAGATGGGATAGTGTATAGGGTTCTAGAAGTTTTATCAAAGGGGGATTTTGAGTAAAAGTGGCATTTTGAGAATAGTGTCATCAGTAATCTGAGGTGTCCGTTTCAGACATTAGGCCAATGCAAAGGTCATCTGATTCCTAGTGGTTCTGACTGAACTAATCATAACCTCAAGTTGCCATGGCCATTGCCTTGTGTGTGTGGTAAAGACAGGATGGAAGATTCTGATGAACACCGTTATATACTTGGGTTTGAAATTCAATGAATGTGCTCAGTAGTCATATATTTGTTGCTACTTAATAGAAATTTTATGACTGATAATATCCCAGGATAGGATTGAATTGGCCATTTAAAAAATATGTTTATTTTATTTACTTTTTTCTAGTTTTATATAGGGGATATAGCTCACCAGAAAGAGAAACAGAGAGCAAGTTGCTGGGTCTGGTACTCGAATGGCAATCAGTCATGTGAAAGTTCAGTGCCTTAACCACCATGCCACCTGTTGGCCCCCGAATTGGCTATTTATCCAAGAGGACAATTGGAGACTTGTGGGTTAAGTCTTGCTGAAGGGAAGTGGCCATTCTGTGATTTCTACCTAATTGTGAACCTAAATGCATTTTACTCAGCTTCTTAACTCTGTGTTATTTTAATTTCTTGTTAGAGGGAATCTCATTTGACCTTTCCAAAATATTTCCTTAACTTAATCTAACAGATTTAAACGTGGAGAAAAATAGTTCAGTCTCCCGTTATGGAGCCTCTCAAGTTGAAGATATGGGGAATATAATTTTAGGCATGATTTCAGAGCCTTATAGTAAGTATTGCTGTTGTAATGATGTAGTCTTGGTGTTTAAGCCCACCATCTTGGGCTCAATTGTGCTTTCAAATTTCCTCCCACAGCTCTGTCTCCCAAATCGCTAAAATGACGACTTGTATGTTCTCGTTTGTAGATCACAGGTTTTCAGATCCAGAGAGGGTAAATTACAAATTTGAAAGTGGCACTTGGTGAGTACTTGAGTAGTAGTCATTTGAGCTCTTTGCTATGCTGTTTCTATTCATTGTGACAATATTAGTAAATTTACTAAATATTTTGACAATAACTTAGTACTGGTAGGTCATATTTAGAAGGTTGTATTATTTAAAGTAAGCTTGGATATTGGCATTAACGTTTAAAAAATGCTGACATCTTTAGTTCCTTTATGATCTTGGGTATATCATATGCTTATATCTGTGATTCCTATTTCAAAACTATGTATCCTCTCACTTGGAAAACTTCCAAAGGAAAAATTATAGGCTTTAGAGAGTTCATGAGTGTTACTGAGATCATTTTCAAGGATGTCCTAGTGGCTTCTGCTTTAGAGCAGTGGAAACACTGGGGAGGAGAATAACGCAGTGGTATCTCTGCTCGTGATCACAGGTAGACATGTTTTAGTTTGTAAATCACTCTAGTGAGTTGCATGAGATTGCTTGGCACCCAAAGAGAACAGAAACTCATGACAGTTTTGCCCATAGAGAGACTTTTGAGGCCTATTCCATTGTGGAGCAGTGACTCATTAGGAAAATGTCTTAGGAGCAACGAAAATGTGAACATGGGAGGGACAGAACATCAAAAGGTGTTAACATATATAATAGGTGATTTGAAAATGACTCATTAGGGTGTGGGGACTCCCAAGCATTTCCATAAATGCTCTCTGATGGCTTCCCTGTTTGCTCCATGGTTTGATAGGGGAGATATTTTAATGGCAGACCTCTGACTACAGGCACACATTCCTCATGGGAGTTAATTACTAGCTCCGTTCTGATCCTAAATCTTGCTGTCAGACTGGATTTAAACCCAACTCATGTATTGGCTAGATGAACTTTAACATGTTATTCTTGGTTGTAGACACTTTCAGTCATGAAGGTGTTGGGGGAAGAGAGTTTGCCTTCCTAGGAATTGGTTCTGGGTGCCTTTTAGGTTATTGTGAGTAACCAGTTCCCCAGCTGATGAATAGTTTCCCGGGTGAGCTCACCCTATTGGACTTGAACAGTCAGCTGTCCTATAGAGAACCACCTAAAGAATAGTTTGAATGGTACCCAGGTAATTTTTTAAAATTTTATTTATTCATTCATTTATTTTTAATTTGACCAGAGAGAGAGACACAGAGAAAGAGAGAGGGAAAGTGAGAAAGGAAGCCACCAGGTCCGGGACTCAAACTATGGTCAGCCATGTGGGAGTGTCCAGCTCCTTAACCACCACACCAACTGCTGGTCCCCCCAGGTAATTTTTGAGGTGATGAAGGAAATCAAGTCATATTGCATATCTGTCTGACCTCCAAATAAATACCGCATGTGTTACTAGGCAAATTATCTTGCAGGAATTACTAGGTGACAGACTTAACTAGCAATAATCTTTAACCTGAGGTTGTGTTTCATCCACAGCAGCAAGATGGAACTTATTGATGATAACACCGTAGTCAGGGCACGAGGTTTACCATGGCAGTCTTCAGATCAAGATATTGCAAGATTTTTCAAAGGACTCAATATTGCCAAGTTGGTTTTCTTTACTCTCTGTTTTATGTAACAATCCCAAAGGGTAATGTTATTTTTCTATCATTTTTCCTCATCTTTTTTTTTAATCTACCAACCATTTTATTATTTTCAAAGGGGAGGTGCAGCACTTTGTCTGAATGCTCAGGGTCGAAGGAATGGAGAAGCCCTGGTTAGGTTTGTAAGTGAGGAGCACAGAGACCTAGCACTGCAGAGGCACAAACATCACATGGGGACCCGGTACATCGAGGTATGTCTTCAACTGGACACCTCTGACAGCTGGAACAGGTATTAATATATGATGGAAGATAGTCATTTCCTTCTCTTTTCTTAGGTTTACAAAGCAACAGGAGAAGATTTTCTTAAAATTGCAGGTGGTAAGTCCTTTTATATACATCAATTTTTGCATATACTCCAAGAATAGATCAATAGGATCATGAATATTCATTTTCCAATGACACATGGGAATTAAAAAAAAATAGGAATAAGAAAATTCCAATAGCATCACTGAGCCTAATATATAATATTTGCCCTAGGCTTGAGCCCACCTACTATAGTTAAGTAGCTTTTAAAAATAGTACCGTTGTAAGATTGGCAGGTCACATGGTGGCTAAGGGCACTGGACTCGCACATGGCCGACCACGATTCAAGACCCAGACTTGGCGGCTTGCTTTCTCACTTTCTCTCTCTTCCCTATTCCCTGCCCAGTCAAATTAAAATAATTAAATAAATAAAGTTAAATAAAATAATTATTTAAAAAAATAGTACTGTTGGGACCAACAGTTGGCGTGATGGTTAAGGTGCTGGACTCCCACAGTTCAAGTCCCAGACCCTGTGGCAAGTCACACCTGGTATGTATGTTCATGTGTCCAAAATCCTGAGAGGAGAATGAAGGGGAATGGATTGCAGTGTGGCCACCCCCATAGAGGGGCTGATTTCTCACTTTCTTTCTCATCTTATCTCTTTTTTAAAGAGATTCTCGCTATGGGGCGCTTGCGCTCACCAGACAGAGACATTAGAGACTGAAAGCGAGAAATCACCCCCTGGGGGGATGGTCACGCCGCAATCCCTTCTCCTCCATTCTCCTCTCGGGACCTTGGGCACGCACACACATGCGCCCGGCGTGAGTTTTAAGCCACCGGGTCCGGGACTCGAACCATGGTCGACTACGTGGGAGTCCAGCGACATAGCCGTTATGTTAACTTCTGGTTCCCAGAAACCTCATCTCTTTGTCGCTCTTATCTCTCTCCAGTGAATATATGTGCCTTATAGCAAACTAAAAAAAAAAAAAAGTAACCAATAAAAGTAATTTTTAAAACTCCAAAGCAGGTTTATACATATTTACCTACTTAATTATCATAATCTAGGAGGGTGGAGATTTTTTTTTTTTTTTTAAGAGGTTTTTGCTATAGGGGGGGGGCGCTTGC